GTTGTCCCCCGCAGTCAGAGGCCATGCTCGTGGACATGTTCTGCGACGAGACGTCGAAGACTGTGACTGTCATTGGAGGAGGGGCTTCTGGGCCTTCGCATCCCCCTGCCGCGTAAGCTTGGTGAGGTAGTCGCCCCGTTTGCGCACCCCAGGCCATGGTGGCGCTCACTCTGCCACCAGTGTGTAAGACGCTGCTGGGCTTCTTCACTGAGTCACCCCGGTCGTCCACGCTCGTGTTCGGGAGTTGGCGCGAACCCGCCCGGACCCTTTTCGGGGCCGCCTGGTAGCGCCGACTGGGGCCAAGTTGGCACCATTCGGAGCATCGTGCGCAGCAGCTCCACTGTTTGGAACCATTCGAGGACAAGCTGGGCCTGGTGCAGAATCGTTTCGGCAGCGGGCTCCCCCGCAATTGAGTTCATCCCCCTCTGCTGTGCCTGCGGAGCGTGCATCGTTCCCAGAACGTCACTGACCAGCACAACTTCCAGCACATCGGCCACGGCAATTAGCCTGGCCCACGTCGTGTGGTCCATTATGCCATCCAAGATTGCGTTCGCCGTCTCCCGCAGCAGTGCAGGGATCGGTGGCAACTCGATGTGCATCGCCACATCCCCCGGTGTCAAAGTCTCGAGCCATCGCACTATGTCGGCAACATGAGGGGCTACAGCTGCATATGCGATTTGGCATGTCGTTTGTGCGAGCTGTTGTCTGGCTAAGTTGCATAGCTGTTGGGCTCCCGCGACTGCCGAAGCTGTGAGGCTTTGTCCCCCGATTTCGTCTTGCGAGGTCTGTTGTTGGGGGGGCGTGGTGGCTGTGCATCAGCTTGCTTAATCTCCTCGGCTGTTTGGGAGTCCGCCGACACGCTGTCCCCCGTTCCAGCAACGTTGGGTCCCAGGCCTGCTAGCCGCGGTGTTTCCATAAGGCTCTGCTCGACGCGTTCCCAAGAGCAAAGGCGAGGGCATCACTCGAGCTGGGCTGTGGCCCGGTAGCACCCTGTGTGGTCCCTCCCCCGCTGCTGATGTTCCCGTGTGTGCCGATGGGGGCTGCGGCTTATTGCGGCAGCAAGCGGGGTGGAGTGAGATGGCGGTGGTTGCCGTTGTTGCTGGGTTGGTGGGATGCGGTCAGGTTGTCCCCGACGCAAGCGTCGGCCATCCTGTAGCGTCAGCTGCTGCATTGCTGGTTGCGGCTGGGTGGCTTGTGGTGTGTTTTGTGGTTCACCGCTTTGTGCTTCTGCAGACTCGTCTTGGGCTTTGGCACCGGGCTTAGGGTAGTAGCTGCGCGGAGGTACGTGCGACGAGCTGGCGTGGTCTTCATCGGTTGTGGTGGGCTCCTGCATGTGTCCCGCTGTTGGGGTCTCGTCTGCTGAGATCAGCCTCGACCCCGACGGGGACATAAGCAGGCGGCAGCCAATCCACCCCGTTGCCGAGGAGAACATTCTCTCTCTGTCTCACTCTCTCTCTCTCTCTCTTTTTTTCTCCAGGTGCCACCCAGAGTGTGCGATGGCACAAACTTGACATGCAGTCGAACGTAAACACAGGTTCAAGTTCAGGTCCGAGTGCACCGCTTTGTCCGGCGAGGTGCCACTGTCGGCTGACAGCCTCAACAAGCTTGGGGTTTTGGGATCCCCTGCAACATGGCAAGCAAGCACCAGTTCGGGCTCGTACCGAGGTGCCGACGACCATACTAAGGATTAGTGTCTTCTCAATCTGTTAGCCGAACTATTGTAATCTGTTCTCGTTTTCTCGTTTCCTTCTCTCCTTCTAGTCGAAGGTCAGCCGAGCTATCGTCTTCTTCTCTCGCTCGCTCTCTGCCTCTCCCCGTCGACGACGACTGCCACGACCATACTAAGGACTGGTCAGAGACGCTGGTCTTTGACGCTCGGACAGGTTTCAAAAGTGAAATTTCCTCTCAACATGTACAGGTCAAGAAACACAGCTCAGGACCTTCCACATGATTACTCCCCCGGTACAAGGGGGGTGTGTGCGTGTGAGCCTTGATTCTAAGCTAAGGTTTTCGTGTCAGCAGGGGAATTCTGCAGTCGGCATCCAACGAAGACACTGCAGTTTTCCTGTGATATGGAATCCGGACGCGAGTTCCACGTACCTGCACTTCACAGTGCATGGAAGCCAGGCTAAGCCAGAACCTGGAAGGACGTCAGATGTGTTTCTGCAAGTACTTCTGATACTAAGGCCTCAGGCATCACCAGATGGATCAATAGTGGCAAAGTCCCTCTACCAATTTCGCTGCCACCGTCTCCGTGTGTGCGAGTGCGCGTGCGTGCGCGTGCGCGTGCGTGTGTGTGTGTGTGTGCGCGTGCGCGTGTGTGTGTGTGTGTGGGTGCAGTGTTTGTTTGTTTGCTTTTGTGTGTGTGTATGTGTGTGTGTGTGTGTGTGTGTCTGCGTTTTTGTTTGTTTGCATGACTGTTTTTCTGTCTGTCTGTCTTTCTGTCTGACTGACTGTCTGCTTGCTTGCTTACTTGTTCGCTTGCCTGTTTGTTTTGGTTTGTGTTTGTTTGTTTTCTGCTTGAATGCTTGCTTGCTTGCTTGCTTGTTTGTCCGCTTGTTTGAGCCTTTGTGTGTTTGTCTGGTGTGCTACATGCATGTAGTACTTGTATACACACTACTGTTGATACGTTGGTTACGCTGCATTACTGTCATGGTTGCGTTCGTACTGTTATTGTTGTAACCATCATCACTACTACTACGAAATCTGGCAGTATCATGACGAAATATTGAATGTATCTATCTGCTGCATGCTGGATAAAGTACATATCATTGCATGTGTCATTGATATACGGTACACTCTATATATAGCATAGCCTGCCCCTGTAACTTAAAGGGTTTTCACAAGAAGACTTTTTGCGACGAGTTGGGAGAACCACCACCAACCCTCCTCATCGAACCTCCAACAGCTCAGATGGCTACTTGCTGCCTGCTGCTAAGCATCTCTCACCGGTTGGAGCCTGGATGATGGCCGCACTGTGGATCCTTGGGACAGGTCCGGTAGGGTATGTGGAAAGCCTGAAACGCTCTGATGGTTGGAGTCGGAGGATACTGCCTCGTGGCCTGCAAGTTAGATCCTGTCACCATGAATTCTATGCGAAACCCCAGTCCCGCTGCTTCATACACTACAATGGTGCATCTACTTATGCGTCTCAAGTCCCGATGCCTCAAGCTTCGCAGTTGCTTTCGAGAGGCTCACCCGCTGCCACCGTTTGAACTCTATCCAGGGTTGGCACTTGGCACGGCGAGTTGACGTCTCCTCAGGTGTAGGATGGAACTAACCAATAAACCTGGACATTCCATCGTTTCGCACTGGGCGAGAAGGCCATAGGTCAACACATCTAGAGCGTGGCCCTTCTAGGAAATTGCCTGACCAACGCTACTAGTAGCTTGTGACAGGACGCCACCATGCGCGTAGATTTCTTAAGGGATGGCGTTTTTGGGCTTGTCGATTGCGACCTTCGGCGGCTATTTCTTGCAGCAAAAGCATTCGAGAACCTGGAAGCCTGACTTGGAACATCGTCTTGTGGCAGAAGGAGCAGGGCAACAGATGTAAATGGGTAGGGTACTGGGACTTTCCACGAACACAAAGCTTCTGTACTCAAGTACTCCAGCAAAAGCCCGACTAGGATCCAGTTTCACAGCTCTGCGCATCACTGTTACTAGTTACCAATATGATCTCTAGCAGTTTCGCGATGACCTCTGCATACTAGAACTTACAACACATGTAGTGGTGCTGACCTCAGTGTATAGTTTAGTTTCCTGAAGCCAACCTTCAACCCCAAACCCCAAACCCTAGAACCCTCAAAACACAACCCTAAGCCGAAAAATCACCGAAACTAGAAACCCGAAGGCCTCAGACCCAAAAAAACTTATCAGCCTAATTAAGCCCGAAAAAGCCTTGCCCCACCCTGTAGCAACCCATATTTTCTAATCTTTGTAGCAACCCTTATAGTAATCCTTATAGTAATCCTTATAGCAACCCTTATAGTAATCCTTAAAGTAATCCTTATAGTAAGCCTTATGGTAATCCTTATAGTAATCCTTGTAGTAACCCTTACAGTCGCCGTAGCCCTCATAGCCCTCAACCCTAAACCCTA